TTAAAGTTAGAGGTACGAGTACGTCCGCGGGATATAGCTTGTTAATTTACCCAACTCTATGTATTACCCATTTCTGTATCTATGTAAAAAAACTAAAAAGATGGCGTGCGCGTGATACATGTTATAAATTGAGTATTTTAAAGATTTCTACAGTTTTGCAGACGCACTTTACCATGTCAACTTTTTAATTCCTCAATCAATATGTAGAAAACAGCCATATAGCTCGATTGCGAACAAAGATATTTTTAGTTGCTCTAAACTACTATGTATAATTTCCTGGTGGCTTTAAGTTTGTGAGTTAGAGCCTTACTGTTTGTAAAACAATTATTGTTTAGATCCATTTTCTCTTAGAGACTAAAGTATTTCTTTAAAAAAAGATCGGGTTTTCCTCCATAGTTTATTAGAGCCTCTACTCGCCCGTATTCACAAACATTACTATGAGGACTCACAGTGCGCGTGGACGCACAGGGTGACACATGAACCAATCACAGAGCTCTATCCAACGCTGTGCGTTCGATTTGCTGCTTCACTTATACAAGAATCGTCTGTGAATTCCGGCGTTTATTATCTCAATCCTCTACCTCACGTCACGCATCCGGTGGACTTATTACGGCGGGGTGTCATGTCGCAAACCGACCTTTGTCGTGACATTTGCTGTGTGCTGCGTACGAAATGTCAGATCCGTGCGCCCGCGCATCCACTAACGGCATAACGGGCACTAATAAAAACGTACGTCAAATGCGTACCGTGGGATATAGTAGTGTACTACCTCTAGCACGAAAAACTTTCGTCTTCATTTCATTTGCATATTCAATCATAACACTACAGACATTTGACACCCCCAACCTTCAAATTCAATGCGTTTGTTAGTCGTATACCTCGAAATCAAAAAATCCTTGTAGCTTTTCACCTAAATTTTTTGGTACCAAATAAATGTTTTTTCTTTCTTTCTTTCTTTCTATTCGCATTTCACCGTGATAGCGTTTTTTGTTGTAGCGTGTAATATCGGTAGTATATTTTGTTACTAGCATATATTTTTAACAGATTTTTACAACAGTAGCATGTATTATCAATAGCCTATTTATTAAGTCGCATACAGTGAAGACAGGCAGGAAAGTAAATCTACTATGAATTTTTTAGACAATTGTAATTAACAATCAAAAATTATACTACAAGAATAAATATCTATTCAGAAATTTGCGAATAGGTGAAAAGCTACAAGGATTTTTTGATTTCGAGGTATACGACTAACAAACGATTCAATGATAACATCATAGTCATCGTGCTACCATTTCTCATACTAAGTTCGCTTTACTTTACGTTCACATAATTGATTGAACTCGATATGATAACAAGGTTCGTCCTATTGTTTTTTAGTTCTCGTTACGGCCGTGGAGGCGCCATTTAAGTTTCCATACTAAATCTTTCGATCGAATATGCAAACGATTCGAAGACGAAAGTTTTTCGTCCTAAAGGTAGGTACAGGATAATGATTTGCTCTACATATTTGATCAGTCTCTACATTTTCGGGAATTTTACTCTAAAATAGTTTTTGTGGTCTGTGATTAGAGCCTATCTGAGAGATAAAGTTGCAAAGACTATCAGGAACTTTTAAGCAAGGGTTGAAGCTATTTGTACAAGACTTTGATTCCCCATATAACTAATCACTAAAAAGTTTAAGTTTGCAATTTGGTATCTCATTATTAGCCTAGAATACAGTCACCGAACGTATGCTGTGATTTATCGTACATCAAAGTCTATTAGTTAGTAAATGAGCAGTGAATTAATCATTAATTTAATCATTAATGATTAAGAGCGTTCAAATCAATATGATAAAGTGGCATCTTTTTTCATAGAATNGCAGGCCTCCGTCACTCGCCTATGCCGGCCGAGATAATTACCTACAGCGCGCGACAACTTCAAGTTGCAAATCCGTAAAGGCCGCCACGCGCCGTGACGCGCCTGTGAGCACACGCGTATTTCTATACACGCTCGGTGTATCATCGTCGCAATCAAGGTTTATTGTTTCAACGGCACTGTTATTCTTCTTTAATGGAAAATCGTAATATTTAGGAGTAATAATTAACTGTAGTGATTTAAATTATTATAAAAAACTACACTTTTAAAATAATTTTGAAATACTTATGACAAAAAACTGTAGCAAAAAAATTATTTTAGCTAATAAAAACATTAACTTTACTTCACCGTGTCTATTTTCCGACACTACACCTTTTAAAACTGTTTGTCCAATTTCGAATTATCGCAACACTGAAGTTTATTAATAGGTACTTTAGAGATGGTACGATTATACAAACACCACTAAATTAAAGTTTACCAATCGTAAATACAATAAAAAATTAGGTTTTTATTTATTTTACTTTGCTTATACAACCCTGACGCTTGAGCTGTGAGGTAGTTCAATTCTGAACACAAAAAAATTGCGCTCTTGTGAGCGTAGTAGTAAGGTGCGATTTCGAATGCACCATGTGCGTTGGATATTTTGCATTATTATTATTACCGTTAAAATGCCGGCATCTGATCCTACACAAAGGAGTGCAATTTCTGTTGCTACTATTATGTATTCTGTGCCCGTATACACAAACATTACTATGAGGTCTCAAAGTGCGCGTGGATGGACAGGGTGACACACGAACCAATCACAGAGCTCTATTCAACGCTATGCGTTCGATTTGCTGCTTCACTTATACAAGAATCGTCTGTGAATTCCGGCGTTATAATATTTATATTATCTCAATCCTCTACCTCACGTCACGCATCCGGTGGACTTATTACGGCGGGGTGTCATGTCGCAAACCGACCTTTGTCGTGACATTTGCTGTGTGCTGCGTACGAAATGTCAGATCCGTGCGCCCGCGCATCCACTAACGGCATAACGGGCACTAATAAAAACGTACGTCAAATGCGTACCGTGGGATATAGTAGTGTACTACCTCTAGCACGAAAAACTTTCGTCTTCATTTCATTTGCATATTCAATCATAACACTACAAACAGCAGTCCAGCAGTGGACGTCATTTGGCTGAAACGAACGAACGAACTACAAACAAAATTGACACCCAGCCTTCAAATTCAATGATAACGCGACGATTTGGATTGTCAAAATTAGTATTTCTCATACTAAGTTCACTTTACTTCACGTTCACATAATCGAAGTCGAACTCGATACGATAACAAAAGTCACAAGGTTCGTCCTATTGTTTTTAAGTTCTCGTTACGGCCGTGGAGGCGCCATTTAAGTTTCCATACTAAATCTTTCGATCGAATATGCAAACGATTCAAAGACGAAAGATTTTCGTCCTAGAGGGCTGATGTTTTCAATAAGGAAAGAATGATCTGCTCTACATATTTGATCAGTTTCTACATTTTCGGGAACTTTACTCTAAAATAGTTTTAGTGATCTGTGGTTGGAGCCTATCTGAGAGATAAAGTTGCAAAGACTATCAGGAACTTTTAAGCAAGTGTTGATTGATGTTCTTAGTACAAGACTTTGATTCCCCATTTAACTAATCATTAAAAAAGTTGAAGTTTGCAATTTTGCATCTCATTATTCTAGAATACAGTCACCGAACGTATGCTGTGATTTATCGTACATCAAAGTCTATTAGTTAGTAAATGAGCAATGAATAAATCATTAATTAATTCAATCATGAATGGTTAAGAGCGTTCAAAATCAATATGATAAAGTGGCATCTTTTTTCATAGAATCGCTTAAGTTACAGGTGCTACGGCATAAGAATGCAACATTTTTGTTGCAAAGTCGCTTCTATCACAACCACATAAAATGCAAGAGTTTAGCTTGACCTGCAGTTCCATGGTCAGGTAGCCTGATAGTTTATGTGGGCAAGTTTTAGGTCGGTTGTTAACAGTTTGTCGCCACGGTGTGTACCTTAACGACCGTCATCAATAGTAGAAACCAGGAGTTAATACTAGTTTGTGGTCATTTTATTTGACCTACGGAGTACGGTGTGTGTTACTTGTGTACCTAAAGTACCAAGACCGGTCCAAAATCAAAGGTTATTTAAAAATAAAAGACAAAGTCATACCTAGTTAGTAATACTAAGTAAGTAATGCCAATAAAATTACAATTAATTAATTAATATTCCTGTACAATTATTTTTTACATTAAGTAGAGCCTTTATTGTACATTGCATTAAGAAATATATTTGCCACGAATTTATTATTGTCATATTTGACCATTATATTTATTTGCCATTGAGCTTTAGTAGCAATTTACCAAAGATATACGATTTAAAACCAATTATATTAAATCTTAAACATTGGTTTGGTTTAAATGTAAATTTAATAATCCATTATTATTCGCCTCAAAATATACGCACAAGATTGGTTATTATGTTAATTCAGTACAAGTACAGTAATGTACCGTTCCTTTCAAATACCAAATCGGATACGCACTCGTGTGCTATATGATGGGTGTGCAATTAAAGGTGTGTATAATGCGCCTATGTAAATACATCTCACGCAGAATTCGTTGCGCTCGGTGGATGGATAAATTGTGGCGGTGCGGATATAAGAGCGGAGCGCAGCGGGTAGGGTAGCGTAGCGGGGAGATGAGCGTAGCGAGTATACGAATGTACTCGTAGCAAAGTGACCTTAGATTTCGTTTTTTGTTCGTTCGTTTCAACCAAAGGGAACACTGCTGGACAAAGGCCTCCCCAAGATTTCTATAACGACCGGTCCTGCGCTGCCCGCATCTTCCCGCAACCTTCACCAGATCGTCGGTCCACCTAGTGGGGCAGGCCCCACGCTTCGTCTTCCGGTCCGTGGTCGCCACTCGAGAACTTTTCTGCCCCACAGATTTCGTAGTACCGACAGTCCATTTCGTAGTCAATTCGTAGTTAGTATGGATTTCTCTATGGTCTATCTCTTTTGTGTTTATTCTTTCCTTTCTTGTTTTATGTGGTGTGCAATAGTGTTATTGGTAACTTATTTCATATTAATGTTAGAAATGTTTTGTTCCAGGGCAAATCCGTGATCCGTCCCATAGCGTTCAAGCCGCTCGGCGGGCGGCTGTCGGCGGGCGGCGAGCGGTACGGCTCCACGCCCGTGCTGGCCAGCAGGCCGCCCTCACACATGACTCTCTATGGCAGTAAGTTATAGATTTATGCTCCACATTACGTCGTGACGTCCGCGGAAGGCGCCTTGGTCGTATCTAGCACCCAAGGCACCGACCACTATGTGGCAGAGGTAACACCCCAGGTTTTAGTGGGTTCGAGCCCCTCATAACCTGCCGTGTCCCTTCGGTAGATATGGATAAGCCATATTCCTGGTGAAAAAAAAAACTGCCTGTTAACCATGTTACATGTTTTATTCAAGGGAGCATCCAAAAAAGCTATCATGATAATGAAGACTTATCCGCCATAAACGATGAAAGTACGAGTACCTTACATAAGATGCACAGTATTTGTTAATATTTTTTAGACTGAATTTGTAGAATAATCAAATTGCTTTAATGGATGATGTTATAGTTAGTTTTTATTGTGGTGGAGCGGAGCGTTTGCAATAAGTTACTTCAAAATGAGGTTTTTACAGCTAAACGTTAAAGTTTTTGTCCATTCATCAATTCTTTTACTTTTAAGATACCGTTAATATTTAAAATGAAATCTCCAAACCGCCAGGTTCATCAGACGTGCGGGAGGCGAGGTGGTGCGGCTCGCCGCAGCCCGCGTCGCTGTCCGCGCTGCCGCCCGCTTCCCTCTCCACTCCTTTGCACCAGCGACATCACTCTGCCATAGTGTGAGTACCATATTCAATCCATCAGGTTAGATTCTGGTCAAGAGCTTCCTCCTTGTGTTAAAAAAAATCTTAGAAAAAAATTCCATTACGAAAGTTTATCTTCTTTTTACTAAAATTTTGGATGGAATCAGACGCAGTCATTTAAACTTGTTTGACAATGTTTAAACTCTGAGCAGTTTCAAAAAAAGATTACTTGCAAAAATTTTCTTGAAATAATCCTAAAGAATCAGAAAGTGTTTGTATGAACTAAGATTTGGAGCACAAAGTTCCATGTATGTCGTTAGTATGTAGTGGTTTATTTAATCAACTTTACAATTAAGTTCGTAATCTCAAAAGGATTACTCAAATCGCTGTCGCTTACCAACACGCTACAGCCTGTCAACGTGACCTCAACCTTAACCGATGCCGTTTGAAACGCGAGTGTGGTCGTTACCTAACGCTGGCAAATCTACTAAAAAGTTCATAACTTTTTACATACATGGTTATGTAGGCTAAAGTGTTTATTACATTAAAGGTATTTTTCATAATTTAGAACCCTCATAACAATTATTGTAATTGACGCATAATTGTTCTAAAATATACCTTATTTAGATGCAATAATAATACAATCAATTTAATGACCTTCATAAATGGATTGAAATTACTTTTTAATATAAAATAATATTGTGGCATTATGCGACTTTAATGGGTTCTTGTAACGCCTCGTTTACTAGTTTTTCTAAGGTTGACAACGCTTTGAAAACCATTGTTTTTAAACTTGTTAATAACTACATAGAGAGCTAAAGTCAGAGCTTTGATAGAAATTAGACATTGTGTACATTGCACATTTATTAAAAAAATATATAGATAAAGGATGTCCCAAAAAGTAGTAAAAATAAAACCGTTTTGTGTTTTACTAGTTTCAAGGTCTGAAAACCTGAAAACTCTAATGGCTGGTCTACATTTCATGAAAGTTATTTTCATCATAGTTCTTCTAGCGTTGCTTAATTCGTCTTTATCTGATTGAATATCTTTCTGTCACGCCACAACACACCACACAAGTGTGGTCCCAGCTTTATTGAAACCCCGCCACAAGTGTCGTTGACTCATCAGCGAGCTGAGGCGTAAGCTGTTTAATTGGAGCTATTAGCAAAGATAGTGGGGCTGGGGCTGCGTGTGCGCCCGTGAATGAGCGCTACGCACGCGGGCCGATACGATCGCGCTCTTCCAAACTGCGATGTCAAATTAAATAACGGCTAGGGACTGAAATTCAATGCCTGCTGATAACTTTTCCGATCAGGGCCTACGGCCTATAAAAGCTACGGAGTGAAATCCACTACCTAATGCCTGCTGATATCTTTCCCGAACACTATAATCTATATCTGTTCGAAGCGTAAGTGAATACCTAAGCATTTACAGGACAATTATGTACCACCCTAGACTGCATGTGTGACACTACAGATGTGTTTGCGGTCAAATACCTGCATTGCTTTTTGCTATTAAAGAAAAACTATCTAATGACATTTCGAAGGTGGGTTCAAATGTGTTAATTTTAATTGTTCGTCGGAGGAAAAGCTTGGATAAATTCGTCGCACTTAAAATTTTTTTCTGTAACAAATTGACGCGTACTTATAAGTCAAGTTCACAACGAATTTATTTCATTGTGTCACTTTTTAATGGCAATACTAGCCCCTTCAAATTATTAATGCTTACATGCTTTAAATATACGCAATAAAATAACCTTACCTTGCTCTACTTATAATAAGTACAATAATGAAATCGTGTTTGCTAGAAACGAAAGTAGGAATTAAATTATCTAAACTTAATAAGAATTATGTTTTATTATGATCTTCGTTACTGATAGTAAAACAGTATCTCGTTACGCTCTTATAACTTCGTATAATCTAGAAAATTATGCCATTAATATACGTAGGTTGCGTAAGATTAGCATAAATTAATGCGTTCAATTAGTACGGTCATTAGCTTTAAGTAATTGAGCTTCTAGTGTTAAACACCTACATAATTATACTAAAGATTCATGAAATAATAATGGTGTAAGATCGAGGTGGATTTGTGTAAAGCAATCGTAATCATTTGACAGTTTAAAACGTACGATAAAGTCAGTTAAACATAGCGTTTGACGGAATAATCGTACGTGTCAAATTATTACGATTGCTTTACACAGTTCCACCTCCAATCAATTGACATCGTATCCCATTACAGAATATTTCGGAATTAACAAACATGAAATCCGACAGCAAATAGTCTCCTGTTTTTACAAACAGCATACAAATACAATCACGCACGGCATAGTAGCGGCACGCGCCACTCATAGCACACGCCGCGCTGCGCCCGCGCCGGTCGTGCGATACGCGAGTGAGCACTCCCCTTTACAATAAATAGGTCGAATTGCGAATTCTTTTTTCAAACTTTCAAAATCAGTGACGTTTTTGTTTCTTTTTTTATATTTTTTAAAGCAGCAAATGTGAAGTGAGTTTCGAACTGTGATAAATATGCTAATGTGAGCTAATTTGAATGCGTCCGTTATGATCGTGCATCCGTCGACGGGAATACGTGAGTGCGTCTTTGTTTTTGTTTTTATTTTTATTTACATGCTGGACAGCAATTTGCGAGATACTTTATGCTCCTGATTGATTTATTACGACAATTGTAATTTTATTTCTCAACATGTTCATTCAGAAGACAGTCGTATAATATTTATTTATATTAAGACTTAAACTTTAAACTGCAGAAACTAATCAATATTATAGGACGGTGTTCTAGTACCTAATCTCTCTCAAAATACCGGTTTTTGTTTTTGATATAAGAACGCCCAGTTTCTCAGTACAATCGGCAAATGTTACCAAAACACTAATTGTCTATCAGTGCCTTAGTCATCGCATTGTTTCCGCCGCTATCGGCGCATGCGCAGCGTTTCCTTTATTTATCGTGTTTTGCAATGAAAACAGACTGATTTCATTATTTTACTAATGAGGTCAAAGGATCTACTTACTTTGATGACTCGTCTACTCTTTAAATAAAGTTGAACTACCCTGAATGACACAGGTTTTATAAGGGTTTATAGTCGTCAGATACTACTCAAACGGACTGATGGCGTAGTATTCTCCAGAGCAAGGAATCACGTTTATTTTCAGACAATTCGGTTGATTCAATTCTGCTGTAAATTACCTACATAAAAAACTGAACCTAGTTTATAGTTTAACTGAACAAAGTCCACTTCCAGCGACATTTTAGTGTCGTTTGATCACCCACGGATACGATGCTCTGGGTGATCAAAGTGGACTCAAGTTAAATTATTATTTTAGTGTCCTTTGATCACCTATAAATAATTATACCTCTGAATAGTCACATACATGTCCAATTTGTTTGTTGCGGTTTTTAGAAAATATCCAAAATGTTATAAAACAAAATATGTAAGTATAACAATTGGACATGTGACTATTCAGAGGAGTTGTGATTTGTATGTAGGTGATCAAAGGACACTAAAATAATAATTAACTGGAGTTCACTTTGATCACCCAGGGCATCGTATCTGTCGGTGATCAAAGGACACTAAATTGTCGCTGGAAGTGGACTTTGATCACCTGGGTCATCAAAGCCAGGTGATCAAAGTGGAATAAACCTATTACTGTAACAAAGTGACCACGAAGGTCAATTTTCCATTACTGATTTATACATTATTTTTAAGCAATACGTATAGACAGATTGACTCATCACACGGAAGTCACTTAAAGATAAATAAACAAACAAAAATGATTTACTAATTGTTATTAATAATTTGTATTGATGACTAACATTCATTAGTATAAATTGTACAAACTGAACAACGTGTTCTATTTATTTTTGTATATTATTTTTATATGTTCCAATCCTCCTCTTAGCAATGATATTGATAAATGTCTTACGAAGATACTACTGCTAAACTATTATTTTTATAAATCGTATTATTGATTAGAAAACAAAAATCTTTAATGATGTTTAACAATATTCACGGCACGTAAACTGCTGAGTAGATTTGAGATCTTAGGCAGACGTTATAATACCGAAGTAAATTAACATCATCATCATCATCAACAGTCCCTTTACAGTCCACTGCTGGACTATGAGCCTCCTTCACTATAGTGGAGGGTTTTGCCATAATCCCCACACTTGGCAGGCGGGTTGGAGATCGCAGTTTAAAAGATTGACGTTTTTAGAGAGTGCTGCTGCCCGTTCTCTGTTTAATGTGTTGTTGAAGTAAATTAACGTTATGAGTAAAATATTTTTCTCTTCCTTCTTCAAATTAGGTATAGGGCACAGCAAAGTCAAAAATAAATTCCAACTTTTATAAAACAGATATACCTATATACTTATTTATTTATTAACACAGGTTTTAGACATTATTACGTATTACTTGTATTTACTTTCATCACTCAGTCATTGATCTCCCGTACTCTACACTACTAAGAGCTGTCAGTCATTTCCTCTACGCATGTTTTGCAACTACCTTGATTTCGTTTCAAGTTACGGCTCTAAAAGGATCCATTAGGTCTAGTTCTTGCATAGGTCCTATGTTGTAAGTCCTAGGTTTAATTGCAGGTGAGCTGAGGTGAGGCTTGTAACCAACTTAGCACATAAAGAGCAATTAGCTATCTGCTAAAAAATATCGAAATTGTTAACGGCTAAGTGGGTACTTACTTAATTAAGCACTTAAGTAAGTTTTTGATTAATTTCATAAATATTTCCCTTTGTAAATGTCAAAGTTACTACGTTTTATAACTTTTTCACCCCTGAAGCGCTAAAAAAGGTGTAATATGTAATACGTAATTTTCGGTATAATTAATAAATAAAAAACTGAAAGCACTTTATATTGGACCTTGCCATGAGACTGCATTTAGTGGAGACCATTATTTGGTGAGCTACAAGCAGTGGCGTAACTATTGGGTGGCAGGGCTGACAAAATGCCACGAGCCCGCAACCCAAGGGGGCCCGGGCCCAAGTCCCTAATCGCCAAGCCCCCC